ATGAGAGAGATAAAGAGAGAGATAAAGAGAGAGAGAGAGAGAGAAAACGAGGCAGAGGGAATAGCTGAGTATTATTCTAGTTTCACGTGGTCAAGTACGAAATCGTTACCAAATTTCATTTTGCCTCCCAAGGCTCCCTCGAGCTTCAGCCAAGAACAAGTAGTGGACAGATCAGTTAAGTAGACCTTCATACTTATGGACACATTTATTGCTTCCAGATGAATAAAATTTAAGGCATTCATTTTAATCTTTTAAAGCGTAGGAGTGTTAAAAAAATTTGGACATAAAATAAAACGATTGTATGATTGTACTAACAAGAGTACACCTGCAACTGTACGAGACATTTGTCTGTAGTAAATGGAGTCACTTTGGTCAGCTGTAACTTTGGCAAAGCGAATGCCTTTCTCTTTTTCAGTGTCGAGAGACGATTAAGGTAACTTACGTGTTTAATTGTATTCTCCATTAATAGAGTGCTTCAAGTACAATCCAGACATAAATCATAATGTAACCCATGGATATGTTTTATGGAGTAATGAATAATTTCTACTCTACTTTTGGCTGTTGTGTTGCTCTATCATCTAGCGAATTAGGCAGGATTACAAGTGTCATTTCCTATTCGTCTTGATCGATGCATGAATATCATATGCATGAAATAAATGTGCATACGGGGTTGTATGTCGTGGAATGTGTATATAATCACAGCCGTAGGAATCATGAACGATTGGAAGACATAGAGATGTATAAGGAGAAAAGGAGAGAGAGAGAGAGAGAGAGAGAGAGAGAGAGAGAGAGAGAGAGAGAGAGAGAGAGAGAGATGAAGTAGAGGAGAAAGATAGAAAGAAGGGAAGAGAGGGAGATAATGGTTCTCTCTGTATCGCCACCCCCCTCCCACCTCCTACCTAAAAAAACATTAAATTTTGCACTTCTACAATCTCCTCCCCCCCCTTCCCAAATAGCCAAAAAAAAAGAAAAAAAAAGAAGGCAGGACCCCTAACTCTGCAACGGACATTTGACTTTTCAATTCCTATAGTTATCTCCCCGCCAAGATGACAGGATTTATAACTCTTCCTACAATGTTTCGTTTGCTTCTTTTGTTTACCTCCCCTGCTTAATATGGTAGCATAATGAATTATGTACATGTATTTGCAGTTTATTACCAACTCTTTTCATAAAGTTTCTTTCATTGCTTTTCCCTGTCTTCCATGCTTCCCCAGTGTTTCATCATCATAATGTTTCTTTTCCTTCCTTCCACCGGTTATCTCCACTGGTTAGAATGGCGTCCTGTCCGCAGTTCCTTACATGGCCATGATCTTCACACAGATTTTTGCCGGTCATGCAGCGGACTTTCTACGTCGCAGATTCCTGAGCACAACACACACTCGTAGGCTCTTCCAGTCTGTGTGTACGTAATAATAATAATGATAATAATAGTAAAATAAAGAAGAAAAAGAAGAAAAAGATTGAAGATATATAATAATCATGATAATAATAATAACAACAGTAATAATAATAATAACAAAAATAATAATAATAA